CTCTGTCTCATATTAGCGATGTGACACACCTGTGCAGAGTGTCAGTCATGCGTTTGTGTAAAGTTGCTGGACTCACTGTGCGGCTCAAGAGGTAACACTTAACACTAATCCTCGTCTACCAGTGTCTCAATTTGTTTTGGCCATCAGTTGGCCTGGTTCTGAGTTTAAGTGCCTTGACATTAAGAAAGTCATTCTCCTAACATTTCACATTCAGTTCATAAATATCATAATTCACCCGTGTTTTTTTTTAAGTGCTGCACATACAACTGTCTGTTTGGAGCACAGTGGCGTCGAGTTAATAGTAAATGTCTGTTTTGTGATGATGTCGTCAGGCTGAAGAAGCCCACCCACAGAAAGAAGTATGGCCTACTGTCCAACGAGGACGATGCTGTGGAGATGGATGCGGTGGACAGCGAGGAGGACGACACGCTGTACGAATCTCGCAGCCTCCGCAGGTCAGAGGTTAACAGGCAACAGCAGTAACGCTGAAATAGAACCTGATTTTAAGGCTAATACCAGTAAAAGTTTATTTTATTTTTTTATCTGATGTTCATAGAAAAACATCGAATCATGAAAACACAAAGTTGTCAAAACAATAAATAAATACATTTGATTATTTTGAATAGTTTGATTATTGAAATAATCCAGAGACACTGACTGGAATTGTTCCAAAGTCTGAACTTTGCTGACTTTGATTTACAATCCGTCTGATTGGTGTTATCTTTGTCTCTGTTCAGATGAGTCCTGGTCTTTGTCCTCTGACGGATCAGCCTGTATCGATTACAGATTGAGAGAGGGTGGGAGAAGTGACCAACGACTGCTGAGAGACGTGGAAATAACAAACAAACTGACCAAATAGTCACTGAAGAAAAATGCCAAATGTCAGCTGCTCGAGGAAGATGAGCAGGATAATCAAATTTTTTGTTATTTTAAATGTGGTGTCGGATGAAATGCAGACATGACGGATCAGTGGATCCTCATGAGGCCAAATGTTCCTTTTCTGTTCGTTACTCCTATTAATATTATTTCAGAGTGTTTTTCTAAGAGTTTATTTGGTGTATTTTTCCACTCTGAGCTTTTCTGCTCTGACTACATGCTTTATACTACTGCAGACTGATGGCAGGCAGCAGCGATGCTGGTGTGAAATGCTGCAATTGATCAGGATTTGTTGTCCTGACAGACGGTCGGCCTGCCCTGAAACAAAGTGAAACTCACGATGTTTCACTTCGGCTGTGTTGAGACTAAAAGGGTGAATGTGAAGCTTTTGTATAACTCTTTGATTCCTGATGACATTTTTTCTCTGTGGACAAGATTCACACTTCTTAACAAAACATTAAAATCTGATTTTTGAATATAAAAAAATGTCTTATCATCTGTTTTTGTTTTTGAACATGAGTCTTTATTGGCTACTTTATTTTTATCATGTCGTGTCAGGTGACATGATATGATAAATCATCTTTTACAAACTTAATATAAAATTAAAATATCTGTAGTTAAAAAAATGTGCTTACAGTGTTGGAAAAAATAATTTTGTAAAAGCGCTGCAGAAGTGAAAATACATGAAGTAAAGAATATTTCCAAAGTACATGAAGTATTAGTAAAATATGTAAAAATGTTGTAACCATAAATATAAAATATTGGAAAGTACTTTTTCCAAGCAAAATACTTCTGGAATATGTAAAAAAATAAATAAGTTATTATTTTTACCAAGCAGCTATTAGGTCCTAAATTAGAAACAGGGATCGATGAGGATCTCAAAGCAGCTACTGAGTCTGTGTAACTGCTTGTTTGTTTTTTTTAAATAATTTAATCATTACTTAGATTTTGAATAATAAAATTATTTACAGCTTAGTGGTGAGGGCTGGAGCTTCAAAATGAAGCTGTAGTAGCAGGCGTTCACCACAAGATGTCACCAGTGTTACTGTTTCAAACATTAAGCTACAGGCAGCGTTAATAGCAAAGCACCTGTCGTGTACCTGCACCTGTAGTGTAGGGATCATATTAGCACAGCCTGAAGATATAAGTAAAAAAGATCAGATTTGAATGATAACGTGGGACAAATATTATGAATGAACATCAAAAACAATCTTTGCAAAATGTATTCAAATAAGGAAACAATCGAAACAA